TGCACAGATACTTCATTGACATACCATAACTCTGGAGGTTTCAGATTCTACTAAATATTTTTTTTTAAACCATAACCTGAAGCTCTACAGCAACAAAAATGTAACCCGATCCCAGAGCAGATTATAAGTATTGAATGCTGTTAATCTACCATCACCATCTAAATCTAAATCAGGGTTTCCCAAACTTGGGTCCCCAACTGTTTTTGGACTACAGTTCCCATCACCCCAACCACTGGTCCTGCTTCCTAGGGATAATGGGAGTTGTAGTCCAAAAACAGCTCGGAGGCCCAAGTTGGGGAAAGCCTGATCTAAATGAATGGAACCAGAATTATTTGTGACACAATATATAATGCAGACATGAATTCAGGACATTATGTAAGTTCTGTAAACAGAACAATTTAGGATAGTAAGGGTTGGCCGTCGATGCCCCTTGCCTAATGTAGCCATTTGGAAGGTGCTGCTAACCCTTTCCTCCATAGCCTGTCTTCTTTCCTGTCCCCCTTCTAGGCTTCTTGAAATTGCTTGGAAGGAAAGATCTTCCAACAGCTAGGGGGAGCACAACCATCCTTTTAGCTGTTTCCAAACTGGGATTTTGTGGGAGTCTATGGGTTTATAGGAAAAGAAAAATAGTAATCAGTTGAAGAAGAGGGACCACAACTATTAAAGGTGCAGGAGACCTCCTGCATGCACTCTCTCTCTCTCTCTCTCTCTCTCTCTCTCTCTCCCTAGCCATTCTAGGCAAAGCCAACCTTTCTGCTCCCATTTGAAGCTTCTGGTTGGCTACATGCACCATCAGTTTTCTTTTTTAATCAGTTGGCAGCATAGAGAACCTGTGAAGCAGATCCATATAAACTACTGTTGTTGCATCTTTCACACTTGAAACCATGCTATGGTTGTTGCCCATTTAATTTTTTTTAATTGTTCACCTTTCAGCAGCTCTGTCCAGTATAAAATAGTACACTTGCAGGTTATGAGGGCAAAAATGTGTGACTGAACAAACAACAATAAAAAGAAGAACTGAATAAATAACTTATTAAGAGCAATCATTGTGAAAAATCTAATGTATAGCTAAATTAAAAGTCAGTAGTTGGAGAAGCTAGGACCAAAGCCAGCCCCTGAAAACCAGTTTCCTCCCAACTCTCAAGTTACAAATTGAAAAGGAAAGAGAGGGTCATGGAGAATGGCATGGGACTTATGAATATAGAAATGATATGTTGGCAGTATGTATGTTTTATTATGAGTTGTGGCGTAGCAAACTTGTGACAAAGGAGGTGGCATTGGTGAAACTGTTGCCAAAGTGTGAAGAGACAGGGTTTGAAAAGCGTTGAAGAAGTGTGGCAGACTTTATGAATATGCCCTTCAGATTTATTAATTTTTATCACAACTCCCATCATCCCTGACCATTTGCTAGGGCTGATGGGAATTGTAGTTTAAAACATCTGGAGGGTACTATGCCGGGGAAGGCAGTTTTAGAGACTTTCCCAGAAAGCATTGCAATTGATTAACTTTCTGTTTGGCACCCGAACAGCTACTTAAATTTATAAAATGCTTATATTTTCAAGACATATAGTGCTGTAGTAGTTTTGTGATCTGAAGATACAAAGCAAAAAAACTGCATTCATTTTGAAAGTCCATTTTCTCTCTTAATGCTTTTCTGAACAGCTGCCTCAATATGGGTACTGTAACTTGATATATTTTTGCCCTGGTTTATTAGCACAAATTTGTAATGGTTGTTTTGGAAAAAAATGTGCTGAAAATTAATCTGGATCCCTTCACACTACAGTGGTTAGTTCAGCATTACAAAACCTTGAGCATTAACTTTCATAACGGTCTTTGTAAGCGTGTGATTTGAGGCCTTAAAGTCAGCAAAACCAAATTATACTTCAACAGTGCTTTTTTCTTTGATCATTTTTCAATATCTGTGCCCCCAGACTGTTCCTATAATGCAAATTACTTTGCCAGAATAACGGGGCACGAGCCCATTGGTCTGTTTTTGTAGTTTGGTTGCTGTGGTGATCCTCAGCCTTCCATAAAAACTGGTATCTCCAGGGAAACTGAAAGTTTGCAGCTGTTTTTACCTCCTTGATATTGTATGTGTCTGCAACGCTCTTTCGAAAGAGTCTTAATAACTGCAGAGGCATGCAAAGCCTATATTGAAAGATTATTCACTTGATAATGCCCATTTTTCATGCGCTGGATGTATTAGCTACAAAATGCTTTCAGTGAACTCTATAACATTCTCTCATAACTAGGCCTTTCTCTCTCTTATTGACTGCTATATCTATAGTGGAAAAGAGGAAACGAGTGTTTTCTGAAACTTCCATTTCCATCTTAACCAAAACTACTTGTATCATCCTTTGAATGATGGTGCATGTGGGTTTTGGTTGTTTTGTAAGCACATATTATTGATGTTTTCCTGATTGGTGCATCTTCAGAATACAGGCGATGGATTGCATGATAGCTGGCCTAAGTCACTGTGCCGCCTGAGGCAGGGAAGTCTCCGGCTTCTCCCCCAGCCTGCCTTTGTGAATTGCTTTGCCAGTACATTAGCAGTGGCAATGCTGGCAGTCCCAGACTTTAGGCCATCTTCTCTCTCAGTGTCCTTTCCCAGAAGGAAGCAGTGTTGGAAAATAGCCCTAAAGAGTGCCTGTGCCGCCATGACTTTGCCACAACAGTGGGTGGCAGAGATAAGGGAGGAGGAGAGGGAGTGTGTGACCCTGCAAGGAGGCTAAGCTTGTTCACATAGCATTAAAACAAGGCTAGCTAATGTGGTTCCCTCCAAATGGACTCAACTCCCATCGTCCCTGACCATTTCTCTTGCTGTCTGGGGCTGGTAGTTGGAGTCTCAAACCTCTGGAAGGTGCCATATTGGCTACCTTTGCACTAACTGGTGGTATAACCTTTCATCTCAAATGTCATTCCCAGTGGAATCGCAGACACTTCCTGTACCTTCAGGTTGCTCAATTTTCCACTTTTTCATGGCCACTGTCACCTGGTGTGTGCTTGATTTTTTAAGAGAAGTGAGAAGGAAGTTAGATTATCTTGTTTATACAGCTCTCGAAGGAAATATGTTAGTACGTTGTGGGGTGGGGGAAGAGAATTTGGAAAAATATGCCCAGTATTCCAAACATTGATAAGTTCAAGCCAGAAAACTATGATTGCCCACTTACAATGAAGGAAGAGGTTTTAGGATAATGGTTAAACTGAAGTATTATTTACTGCTGAGCAGGTGTCTTTCTAAGTTTGCCCGAACACTGTCGCAAGATCCAAAATATCTCATCTCTTTCCTGGAATTGTTTTCATTAGCAGACCTCATCCCGAGCTTGCTAGACTTCTCCAAGACTCCTTCCCTAAAGGCTGTCCAGCGCACACTCCAGACTTTGCAACAGAGAATCGCTCCTGCCTTTTCCTCACAAGGGCTCACAAGGCTTGTGCCTCTGTGGGTTGCCCAGGGCCCATTCATCCAAAATCTCCAAACCTGCCCACAGAAGTGTGTTAACAAAAATTTAGAAATGATGGGGACCATATGGCAACTGAGCTCCGTGGAGCCAGGAACCCATGGTGGCTTTTCCCAGCAGTGCAGAACAGCTAATAATGACATTGTGACTGCACTTAATCTGTGGGCGTCAGGGAATGTAGTATTGAATTGTCAGTGGCTTTGGAATTGCTGTGCAGACTCGGTTATTTGATGAGAAAGTGGGCACTCCTGAGGGTTCGGTCCTCCCAGTCAGAAACAGGTTTCCTAGCTTCCCTGCCATTTATGAGGATTAGGCTCAGGAATGCAAAACTGTGAACCTGGAAATTAGGGTTCAAATTCCACCTCGGTTCTGAACTCAGTAGGTGGCCTTAAGCATGCCTCTGCCACAACTCTACCCCCATCTGTGAGTGGTAAGGGTGTTCACACGTTACGTTTAAAGAGTATACAAGCGGTGTACTCAATAGTTGAGCTGCACAAAACAGCGAGTGTACACTACGCTCTTTTACGCAAACAGTTGCACCTGTGTTCAGTGTAAGGTGTGAAGAAGTCTAGAGTTGATTCCTCTCCCAACCACTCTCCTCCCTGCTCTTGCAACTGTTTCTTCGCCAGTCCCTCTGGGCCCAAACCAACCACAGGGAGAGGGCCAGGCAAGCAGAGGGTGCTTCTCCATCCCCTTGCTTCTGTCACTGCCAGGGCTGCCATACATCCAGGTTTTGAGTTCAAAGAAAAGTCCCCAAATGTGTGTTTTTTGGGGGAGATGTTCCCCCCCCAAAAGCTCAATAACTTTGAACAGCAACCCTAACCACTGCTAACTTCTTTGGAGAAGGTGGTTGCAGGCAGCAACAGTAACGAGGAGGAGCGAAGTTAGGGGGCTCTGGGAGTTGGCACTTGGTCCCCTGCCCAGCAGGTGCCCATGGCTGGTCATACCATCAAACAGAGCAAGGTGGCCATCTTAGGCTGCTGATTTTGGGTTTTCTTATAAGGGCAGCAAATTGCTGCTAATAATAATAGATAGTTGTTGTTGTGTTGGTTGTTATTAGCAACAGACACTGTTGCTTTACTGCCAGGGAGGTGGATGGAACTTGTGGGGTTGTGTGTTTCAGGTGCCAAAATAACTCGGCCAGATTTGAGTCCTGTGTGCCTACTTTGAGTTTGTGTGCATGAATTTTTTTTGCTCTGCCACAGATAGCAAAATATATTGAGATGACTCTGCAGATGTACACTATTGTTAACCCCTCACCCCAGCCCTGGCAGTGCCTAGGACGTTACTATTTCAAATTTCACATCAGTCAGGAACTGAGCAGGTGGGCTTAAGCACATTCCTTTTCCTCAGTCCCATCTGTAACATAAGAAATTATCATCATCATCATCTTATCAACTTGTCTGTGTATAAGGATTACTGAGAAAATGTACACAAAGCATTTGAAATGTTAAAGAGGCACTATATATTAATTATTTTTGGAATATTTATCAAATAATGACCACATTTTAATTGGTTGGTGTGTATTTCTGTTTTTTACAGGTCACCTTACATTTGAATCCAATTTCTTCAATTCATATTCACCAGAGGCCATTGGCATTCATACTGAACTCTCCTGTTCCCTTGGTATGGAAGGTGAAAACAGAAAGACTTGCCCCAGAGATTTCGAGGTTTTTCACTGTAAGTATTGGGAGCTTTGTAGCCACTTCATAATGGACCCTACTCAGTTAGTTGGTATTCCTTTCGAAGAAGGGGAAGGGAAAATAATGCCAATAGAAAGAAATGTTAACTAGTTATCAGGTTTCATAGCAAAGGCTCTTGGGAGCAGTTAGGTGGCTTGTGGAAGCAATTTGACTTCTCTCCAGTTATTTATTTGAACTTTTGTTTAAAATGGGGTTTATGGCATTGACCTTTATGTGTGATCATCGATTCTAGTGGGCTTCCTATTCTGAGAGGCTGTGTGGCCTTGTGACAGATCATAAGCCCTGGAAGGCATGATAGGAGCAATGCCAAAGGCAAGAGCAGGGAAGAAAATGTTAACTAACAAACAACTTGCTTTCTGTGTGGTCTGCAACCAAATCTCTAATCACTTTGAGACGAGCCTCTTGGTGCACAGTGGAAAGTATTATTATTATTTGAGGTTTTGTTAAAGGTACAAAAAACTAGGACCAGGATGAAGTCATGTATGTGCTTCTCAAATACTGGCATGTTGCTCCTGGAGAAAGATCCAGCTATTACCTACTGTTTTGTAAATCACTCCTTCACAGTTTGCCAGGACATTCAAATTTGCTGTTTGTAAAGCTGAGCAGACTGGTTGTTTGGATTGCATTTTTAGGCTATGATATCATGTCTCATGGTGTGTCCTTAAAGCTTCACTATTTAACATCCTAATTTTGGAAACAAACATTTCTGTTGCTGGTTGTAGAACAATTGCACGGGGTCCAGTCCTGCTTTGTAAAGCACAGCCCACAACATTAAATAGGGCAAGTGATGTTCATCCTGAATTGGAATGAGAGAGAGTGAGTGTTCTCAAATTGCATCTGGAACCCAGAGGACAATCCAGAATGTATTAATGAGAACAAATGTTATTACCACATGTACTAAACTCATTGGAATGCAGTTTATAGTGTAGTATTACACTATACCTGCTATGAACATGTGGGACAGAAAACTCTGGTTCGGGGCAGCTAATCTGGAAGAAGAGTTGTGAAGTGGATATTGTCTTGTGAGCTGAGCCTGAGACCCAGTCCAAATATTGGAGGGTCAGGGGGAATCACATTGCTCAGTCCTCCTGGTGCTATACTACAGGATTCAAAGATCACTTTAGTGCCCTGTGTATCTTGACCCTGAGATGGCCGTTTGATCCAGGGGTGAACTGTTCTGTAAGTTTTTGTTTCTTGCATCTTTCCCTTTTCCCAATATTAAGTTCAGTTTACTATACAATTCTGTGTCAGTTTGCAAAATACATGTGTGAATAATATGTGTGGCCAGTTCTTAAACACATTGAAAATTTTTCCTTACTAGCCAGAGTGTTCAGAAATGTCTGCCCTCAGGCTGGATTGTGCTGCCCTCACAGTTCCTCCAATGTCTAGGATGCAGAATTATTCAAGCTTACTCTGACCCTTGTACTGAATATTTTCTTGCTTGATTGCCAGACTTTCCATGCCACTACATCCTGGAAAACATAGTATTTTGAATCCTTGCACGTTCCCGGTTTGTTTTATTTTTTTTAATTTTGAAAAAAAAGTCCATTGTTTATAAGGAGAAATATGTGTGTCTTACATGATGTACTAATGTCAGAATTATTGTGTCTGTCTCTATGGAAGAATTTAGCTGGATGATTCATAGGCTTTTTGGCTTCTCTTGCTAATGTAAAAGGACATTGCTTTTTCGTTCAAAAATGTGAAGAGGTTATTTTCCATCAAAAACTCAATATTTTGAGATGAAGCTTCTCCTAATAAAAAGATGATGAACTAAAAGGACCTATACTTTAAGGATTGAAAGAAAGGCGTTCTGGAGCAACTGGCAGCCAAATTAAAAACTTTCAGTTAAGTTGCCACATAACAGTATGAGAGCTGTCTTAGTGGAAAGCCAGTCTCAGAGGCCATCTGGGTACCTCTCACGAACCTCTCAGCTAGCTTCTCCCGTATTTTGTCTCTAGCATCAAATAATCAGAGAAATCAGCTTTGAACGTGGAAATTCCATTTTTGGTTATTAATAGCAATTAAATGATACCCTGTTCAAAGCCCTTCACATGCATATGTAAGGTAGGCCAGTTCTTTGTGGCCTGGTTTTCAATGAGATGGTCAAACCTGTTTCTGGATGAAATTGTTGCAAACTGCAGGTGGGGGTTCACATAGCCATGTGATCATCCACATTAAAAAAACAAAAACCCTTCCACATAGATTAGGGCTGTCATACATCCAGAATCTCTCGGACATAACCAGGATTCGCCTGTTGGAAATGGCGTCTGGGGAAACCCGGGCATATGGCAACCTGGAAGTGTTGGGTTTTTTGGGCGAATTTCCTAAAAGAATAGCTCACAAACTTCATGATGGTGTTTCCTGCTTGGCAGGGGGTTGGACTCGATGGCCCTTGTGGTCTCTTCTAACTCTATGATTCTATGATTCTAATTTATTTTTGGAGATTGGGGGGGGGGGGAGCTCAACAGTTTTTGTATCCAGATGGCAACTGTGACAGAGATGACAAGAAAAATGGCTCTAGCTAGCCTTTCCCATCCCACAATTGTTTTCTGAGTGCAGGAATTTAGGGAGCCTTGTTTGGTCCTGCTCAAAGAGAATACAGTGGTACCTCGGGTTACATACGCTTCAGGTTACAGACTCCGCTAACCCAGAAATAGTACCTCGGGTTAAGAACTTTGCTTCAGGATGAGAACAGAAATCATGCTCTGGCGGCGCAGCAGCAGCAGGAGGCCCCATTAGCTAAAGTGGTGCTTCAGGTTGAGAACCGTTTCGGGTTAAGAACGGACCTCCAGAACGAATTAAGTACTTAACCCGAGGTACCACTGTATAAGGCTATGTTCTATCTCCACTGCTGGAGGCAGCATGCCTCTGAATGTATGTTGCTGGGAATCTCCAGTGGGGAGAGTGCTCTTGTGCTCAGGTCCACCTTGTGGGCTTCCCATGAGCATCTGGTTGGCCACTGGGCGGACAGAGTCCTGTACTAGATGTGGACCTTTGGTCCAGCGGGGATCTTCTTGTGTTCTCAAAACATTCAATGGCATGGATATCTCCTGCGTGACATGCTTCAGGCATACCACCTTCTGTGAGAACTAAGCCTCGTATGTTTTTGTATATTACGGAAAATATATTTTAAAGCGATAAAGAGTGGGTGAGGGGGTGAGGAAATGGGCCGATAGGAAAGGGTTAAGAAACCCCCTCCTCACTCCACTCTTTGGCCAGAGTCCCCCTTCAAATTGTAACTTCAGCTGCTGCATTTTTTTAAAGCAAAAAAGAAGAAAAGAGTTCTGAGGGAGGAAAGAATCACAGAACTACAGTGGTACTTTGGGTTACATACGCTTCAGGTTACATACGCTTCAGGTTACAGGCTCCACTAACCCAGAAATATTATCTCAGGTTAAGAACTTTGCTTCAGGATGAGAACAGAAATTGGGCTCCAGTGGCGTGGCGGCAACAGGAGGCCCCATTAGTTAAAGTGGTGCTTCAGGTTAAGAACAGTTTCAGGTTAAGAATGGGCCTCCGGAACGAATTAAGTACTTAACCCGAGGTACCACTGTATATGTAATTCCTCCGTTAGCGATATTGCAAATCGTATCTTTGATTTTTCAGCGACATTAGTTCTTATACATATTTTATTTGTATTTTTATCACCCATGCTCGTAAAATCCTTCTCGGGCGCTTATTATCCCTTTTGTGCGTCCTCTGTGAATAGACAATGTTGAAGAGGACTGACTAGAACTACAGCCTGTCGACAACTGTACTTTTGAATGTGATTCACGAGGGAACAAATTCATAATGATTTTGGAGGATTTTTAAAACCTGTTTTGCATTGGGGAAAAACTGGTATGTACTTTAGGTTGGTTTCTTCCCCTCCACAGCCCCTCACATCTTGTTAGGAAGTGAGTTATGTTCTCCTCTACTAGGGGGATTAATTTAATAGCAGGAGTAAATCACTGTGAAGGGTAGATTGTTTGAGGTCTTTGGTGACTTGTTCATTCAAGCAGTGCTGGAAATGAAACACACGCACACATACATACAATCCAAATTGGGGCGCATAGGATTTTAGCTTTAGCCTTATAGAAACCTAGGAGGACTTATTTCTGGGTAGAAATGCATAGGATTGTACTAGTTCACATGACGGAACACTGTTCCATGACAAAACACTTTCTTCCATTCTGCCTGTTCACCTACTCCATTCCTGTAGAAATTACCACTTGGAACGGGGAAATATCATTCATATTTGAGCAGGGAATCACCTGATCCCTGTAAATGGGATCCTGCTTGAAAGTAGGGTTTGGATCGCAGGGTTTATATTCCTCCATGGAACATCTTTCAGAGCCTTCTGGAATTTTGCCAGTTTCTGCCTTATTTCTTCCTTGAACTTCCTTTCTTGGACTTGACTACAGCTGCAAATAAAACCTTTTAAGTGTTCTAAAGTGCAATATACAAGTGTTTACAAGTGTTGTAAGTGCAATATACAAATGTGACACTAGATGGCGACAGTGAGCTATGGCAAATTCAATGTATTTTTCAAAACATTTTTTAGAAAAGCATTTTCACAGCGTTCTTTTAATATGTTTGTAGATTCCACCTTACTTTCCAAATCTCACTTGGAGCAGAGGTGGATGTAAGTGTGTAAGTCTAATCTGAATAGACCTACTGTAAAACAACACTGGGAATGCATGGCCAAACTGAATAAGCCTCTGCTGTTCCCATGTACCACTTTAACCACGTAACCTGACCCTTTGCCAGATTAAGGATCTATAATGTACTGCATTCACATACCCATAGGAGGAGAGTGTTCTGGCTTCTCACCCAGCTGTGGCAGATTTCTTCGCCATTTAGCATTTCAGTTAAAAGAAAAGTCTTTGCACAAGGAGGAAAACAATTAAACATCTGATGCAAAGTGGTTTCATTAGCGGTGCCCTTAAACCCTAGAGATACTTGAAGGCAATAGGGGAGAAAGCCATTCCTTTCCCC